GCCCTAAGTCTGCACTGAAGGCGCCTCAGCGTCTGTGGTGTGAGGCGCGTCCTCACTGGGTGAGGTGCCGGAGGAGAAACGGGGCCAGGGCCCCTCGCCGTGCTGACGCGCTGGGCGGTGTGGGGTGAAGCTGGTGGCGGGCGGTGGCTGTGGTGACTGACATCCGACTCGATGTGGTCACACCCAGGACCCGGGGTCTGGGCACAGCATCTGATGTGACAGACCAGGGTCTGTTTTTATTCAGATGTTACAAACCTAGCGAAGAGCTTTTGCTGCAGAATTGGTCTTTTGTCCGCTTGGAATACAGCGGGAGTGTCTGTGTGTGTAATGAGAGGGGCTTTAGGCGTGCGTGTGTGTGTGTGTGTGTGTGTGTGTGTGTGTGCGCGTGCAGTGGCTGAAAGCAGGAGGGGCTGCAGAGTGGGCGCTGCCTGGGAGGGTCTTTACATTTGAGTGACACAAGACAAACCTGAACCTTGGCTGTGAACACACCGTGATGGGGAAACAGGGACTTCAAGTGGGCAACCAGGAGAAAGCCGCGTTTAACACAAGCGAAAAGGGCTCCTGCGGGGGCCCGCTCTGCTTTCCATAGACTTACTCTCTGTGAGGTGAGCAGTCGTTTCAGGGGTGGGAGCTGCTTCCTCTGGGACGGTCGTAGGTGGGGCGGGGCAGGTCCGTGAGTGAGCCTGCGAGGAAAGGAGACCTTGTGAGTGTGTGCCCTCCCCCTCCCGTCTCAGGCGTGGGATGATGTCGTCCGCAAGGAGAAGCCCAAGGAGGACGCGTTCGAATATAAGAAGCGGCTAACGCTGGACCACGAGAAGAGCAAGCTGAGCCTCGCGGAAATATACGAGCAGGAATACATCAAGCTCAGCCAGGTGAGGAGCCACGAAGGCACAGCTGTTGCTGAAAGGAGAGACTGGGAGAACCAGTTCTGTGACGGCCCAAATTCATCAGACAGAAACCCTGAGCTCTCGGTCCCCTGGTCTCAGGGTGAGGCTCCGCGCAAGCCGGAATGGTGGGTTATAACGTTCCCACTGAGCGAGAGCGAGGTGTTCTTGCAGCTAACAGTGGTCACCTGATACTTCACAGCTAGTTATTAACTTTTCCAGCTGTATTACAGTAGTGCTACAATTAAACAATATATATTTTATTGATTTTAGAGAGGAAGGGAGGGAGACAGAAACATCAATGATGAGAGAGAATCATTGATCAGCCGCCTCCTGCACACCCTACACTGGGGACTGAACCTGCAACCCGGGCACGGGCCCTGATGGGGAATCGAACCGCGACCTGGTTCCATAGGTCGACGCTCAACCCCTGAGCCACATGGCGGGCAGTGCTGCAGTTTTAAATCATTTCTCATTCATCCTTTAGAAGTTGCTGGTGTGTTTTATAAGATTATCGGTAAATCCATTCATACTTTTAGGTCTGGTGGGTATTTTTGGTTTTTCTTTTTAATTAGATTCTTTAAAAAATATTCCTTAAGTAGGACAGAGTCCTATTTCCAATATAATAATTGTCAATTATTCCTTTACATTTGGTTTGACAGGAATGCGGCCAGTTGTGCTTGGGGAGGAGGTGACGTTGTTCCTCTGCCAAGGCCGTTAAGACTCCCAGCAGCTCGGTCAGTTAGGCCCGTCAGCAGCAGGAGCAACAGTGCCCTGGCAGGGGGAGAACTAGGAGGCTCTGGGTCTGAGTCCTGGCTGCCTGCGGCCCGGGGCGCTAGCGGAGGGACCTGTGTCGCGCCCAGGGTGCTGCCAGGAGGCTCGGTACACAGACAGGGAACGTGGGGTGCTGTCCGGTCACGTCCCTTAAGCCGCTTCGTCTGATGGTGTTAAACCTATTTTCTCAGCAAAAAACAGAAGAAGAAGAAAACCCAGAGCACGTGGCCATCCAGAAGATGATGGACGCCCTCTTCTTAAAGCTGGACGCCCTCTCCAACTTCCACTTCATCCCCAAACCCGTGAGTGCGCACCCTCCTGCGTGGACACGGAGCGGCTGTGGGCGCGGCCCTGGCTGAGCTTTGGGGAGACCAGCCTTCATTTGGCTTCTGCTTATCAGAGTCTGTTTTCAGGAGCTGGAAAACGAGAAAACTTACTAAGTATTGTTCCAGTGAACATTTTCCCTTGTATCTTTTTTCATATATTTCTTTTTTATTTAATACATTTTTAAATTGATTTCAAGAGAGGAAGGGAGAGGAAAGGAGAGACAGAAACATCAATGATGAGAGATAATCATGGATCGGCTGCCTCCTGCACGCCCCCCACTGGGGATCGAGCCTGCATCCCAGGCATGTGCCCTGACCAAGAATCGAACCGTGACCTCCTGGGTTATGGGTCAAGGCCCAATCACACCGGCCGGGCTCCATATGTTTCTTACAGTGAGCTCTTTACCCCCACCCCCACCCCTCCAACCAAGGGCAAGGTAATATTTACAGAAATCAACAGGTTCTATTAAACAGATAAGATTGAGAACGTACACAAGCATGGGAGAGGGGAATAGTTCAGTCCCAGATGAGAGAACTGGTGTGTGAATCCGGCAGAGGTGCCATGCAGAAGGGTAGGACGGGGTGCCCCTGGGGCAGTGCTGACACGGGAGACCTCGAATCCTCAGGCAGCGTGAGTGCTGCCCCGTTAGCTTGGCTTCCACCCTCAACACAGCTCCTGTTTTAAAGAACCTCCCGAAAGCATTTGATGTATTCGATTTTAAATTACTGGGTTCACCATTCAATTCTTTTAGGTGCGGACTGTTTCTTACTTCCTAATCCATGTGTCGTCTCTTCCAGCCCGTTCCGGAGATTAAAGTTGTGTCCAACCTGCCGGCCATCACCATGGAGGAGGTCGCCCCCGTGAGCGTCAGCGACGCGGCTCTCCTGGCCCCAGAGGAGGTCAAGGTGAGGAGCCGGGGGAAACGCGCAGTTATCTGCCGATCAGCAGTGTTCGCAGCCAGGTCTCCGTTTACTGTCATTCTTGAGTTCGTAGCTTTTATTCTAATGTATCTCAGCAGTTCCTGAGTATAATCAAATTAATAATGTTATAATGGTGTTTAATATTCAAATACCAGACTCCTGTAATCAGCTGTTACTACGATTTGCAGATATGAGACTTATTACAAAAGCTGTTGGTAGATAGTCAGTATCAGTATCTTGTTCTAATCCATTTGCATACTAGCGGGGTTAGGTTTCAAACAAATTGCATATATTGCACATATACTAGCAATCTTTTAACGTCAGCACTTCCCCCTCATGCCGTCCATTTAATGCTGTTCTGGAATGGAGTCAGGGTCTAGAACACGAGCCTTTGGGTGTCGGTAGAGGGTGGCCCGGCCGAGTGCGGCGGTCCCTGCCCGTGGACACGGCGCTCACGCCTGGCACAGTGACGCCGGTCCTGCCAGGATCTGTCTTCCCGCTGGCCTAGCAGCACAGCCCCTCTCCTCTCACTTGCTTTGCTGCTCCCGCACCCACCCCTTCAGAAACTCTGACAGCCCCAGCAGCTAGGCTGGCCGCTGAGGAGAGCGAGGCAGCTGAGCGCCACCCGGAGGATCTCCTGTCTCTGGCATCAGCCGCTTAGCACTGGGGCCACCTCAGCAGGTCCCGGGGCTCGTGCTGGAGTCCACGTGCCGTCGGCCTGACTAACTAGTATGTTGGTGGTTACTTTTTAAAGGAAAAAAATAAAGCTGGAGATATAAAAACCGCTGCTGAGAAAACAGCCACAGACAAGAAGCGAGAAAGGCGGAAAAAGAAACTGAGGAAGCACATGAAACTGAAGGAGAAGGAGAAGCGCAGGAGACTCCTGGAGAAGAGCAGCGCCCAGCCCGCGGGGAAGCTCAGCAAGGCCTCGGCTTCGGAGCAGCTCAGGCAGCTGACCAGAGCCGGCAAAGCCTCGCTGCTGAAGGTGAGCCCGCAGGCGCGGGAGGGGCCGCTGGGAGGCGCGTGGCCAGGTGTAGGTGCCCACGGTCCACTGGGTGGCAGAGCCGGCGACACCGCCCACCTGCGGGTGCGGAGGCCCCTGGTGACCGGACACAGCCTCCCACTCTGCTCCTCACAGCGTTTCGTGCTACTCCCTCTGCCCTCAGATTCCAAGAGCACTGGAGCAGCACCGAATGCGTAGAGTATCTCTATGCTGACTGGTTGAATGTCTCACAAGTTCGCCTAGTCCTTTTTCAATTTATATATATATATATAGTGTGTGTATATATATATGTGTATATATATGTATGTGTGTGTGTGTGTGTGTGTGTGTGTGTATATATATATAGTGTATCTGTGTTTTTATCCTCAACCGAGGATATTTCTTTCCATTGATTTTTAGAGAGAGTGTGGGGGACGGGGAGGCGAGGGGGGCGAGAGGAACATTGGTTGCCTCCTGCCGGGGCTGGGGATCAAACCTGCCACCCAGGTCCAGGCCTTTGACCGGGAATTGACCCCGAGGCCCTTCAGTCCGTGGGCCGACACTAACCACTGAGCACACCAGCCAGGGGTCACTCCTGTCCTGACAGGACGTCGTCATTGGGGTTCTTTGCCGTGAGCACATCTGTACATGAGCACGTGTTATTTTAACTGCAGGATGAAGGTAAAGACAGAGCCTTAAAGTCCTCTCAAGCTTTCTTTTCTAAGTTACAAGACCAAGTGAAAATGCACATCAGCGATGCAAAGAAGACAGAAAAGAAAAAGAAGCAGCGACAGGACCTTTCTGTCCATAAATTAAAGCTGTGATGTACTTGGACTATAATGTAAATATGAATGTGAGTTTATATTCAGTCACCGTTCTGTTTTATAAATAAAGTTTTTTGAGAACTCTGCCTGGTCCGGGTGGCAGATGTCTGGGAATTCCCCGGTGGAAAGAGAAACTCCAGGCTGCCTTGGGAAGCCCCGAGCGGCCGTGCAGGAGACCGCCCAGCCATGATCCTCTCGCATCACCGATGTCTCTCGCTCCCTCCCTTCCTCTCTGAAATCAATAAAAATACATATATTTTTATAATGTTATTACCTTCACAGCGAGGCCTTTCCTCCCCGCCTCACTGCGATGCTCCTCCTTTCTCTCCAAAGGGCTTGTCTTTTAATTCTCTACATAATACATTTTTTGTTCGTTTTTTCCTCTCCTTCCTCAACCAGAACGTATTCTCCATGAAGGCAGGGGTTTCCCCACACCCAGTGGACATTACCGCACTCAGGGGAGGCCCCCACTACCTATTTAATGGTGAAGTCCCTATTCCTGTCCCTTTCCTCTCTGGTGAGTCTGTTCAGCACATGGATGAAGTTAGTACAGAGTTAGCGCTGGCCCGTGTTGCAGGCGGCGAGCGGCGAAGGACAGCGGACGGGCCCTGGGCTGAGAGAGCGTACGTGGTGGTCATTCTTGGGGACGCCGGGGGCAGCTGGTGTCCGTGCTGCAGGGCTGACCGATGAAGTCACGTTTCAGTGATGACACAGCCATTATTAGAAATTAAATTGCACAAGCTCACAGCTAAGCTAGATTGAAAATAAGTACGCCAAACTCATCACTCTAGTTACGCTAGTCCCCGCTTACCCACCATTTCCCTTTCCACCATTTTAGTTACCTGTGGTCAACTGTGGTCCAAAAATGTGAAGTGGAAAATTCCAGGTATAATTCATGTTTTAAATTGCCTGCCATGCTGTGTGACTTGATAATTTCACAAGGACCTGCTCGGTCCTGCCCGAGTGAATGGTGCCTTTGTCCAGCATATCCAGCTGTTTCCGTTATCAGATCAATTATCAGAGAGAGATCACAGTCGCATAACTTCTATTATGCATATTGTTACCATTGTTCTATGTCATTATTAGCTATTGTCAATCTCTTCTAAGTTAAACTCAATCATCGGTATGTATTTGTAGGACAGTCTATGCAGGGTTCGGCCCTATCCGCGGTTTCAGCCATCCGCGGGGGGCTTGGGACGAACCCCAGGAATTGGGGGGGCGGGGGGCGCTGTACTGACCGACTACATTGTATCATCCCTTTGCGCTTGAGGTTGCATCCACTGTAACAAGGCGCGAGCGGCACCCCCTTGGGAAGCCCCGCAGAGCTGGGTGGGTAGAGCCCGTCTCTGTCTCATCCCAGGAACCCACTTCACTTTGACACCGACGGCTCCCCCGACAAGCGGCCTGCGCCCCGACCGGGAAAGGGGTGCCCTCGGAGCGCACGTGCCGGGGCGCATGCGCGGTCGGCCTCCTGCAGGGCTCCACAACCCTCTGCCGCCTGCATGGAAGGAAGCCTTCCTGGAGGAGGAGGAGGGGGAGGAGGAGAGATCGATCACTCGGGCCTCCGCTGGGGGAGCCTGTGCGCGCCGAGACGCGGGGATCGGCTGGTTGTGCCTGGGCGCGCGGAGCCCCGTGGGAGGTGCGGGCCGCCGGCCGGGGGCGCGGGGCGCAGGGGGCGCGGCAGAGCCGGGAGGGAGGGGAGCGGGCGGCGCGAGGTGGCCGGGCTGGGGGCGCGGGGAGGAAGGGAGGCCCCCGCGCGGTGGCGACGCCCCAGGCGTGCACCCATGTGCGCGGATGCGGCCCCAGGGAAGGGCCGGGCTCACCCCGCGCCCCGGTTCGGTGGCCGCAGCTGCCGGTCGTGCAGGCAGGAGTGACCCGGGCATCCTGTCTCCCGGAAACAGTTACCGATGCCGTGGGTTTAGGAAGGGATCGGGTGTAGCCACATTGGGGGGGACCACTGGGGGCTCAACGCGAGGTCAGCGAGCCCAGTGCCAGGCCGTGCCTTAGGCGGGTCGCGCTGAGCGTGCACGGGGCGCCCTGCCCGTAGCCGCCCCAGGCTTTTCCTCCGCGGTGCCCGGCTCTGGCTTCGGAGCGCGCCTTGCCGTCTGACCCGCACGTGCTGTGCTCTGCAGGGAGTACGTGCTATGCAGTCCAAGGGAAGCCCGCTCTCCGCCGTCCAGCCCGGGAACGTCCCCGCAAACCCCTGCGCCCTCCCCCAGGGGGCGCCTTCGCTCTCCTCCCCGAGACACAGCCTGCTTCTCCAGGGCGCATGATGCCAGGGGGGACGTCGCCCGCGAGAAAAAGGCCCCGTCGAAGCCTGTCGAGCAGCAGAGCGAAAAAAAATGCATCCAAGTCCATCGTGCTGTGTTTCAACAACACGCCACCCGCCAAACTTGCCTGCCCGGTGTGTAGTCAGATGGTGCCCCGCTATGACCTGAACCGGCACCTCGATGACATGTGTGCTAGCCGCGATGACGTCACTCCGGGGGCCCCGGGGCTGGGCGGCGTCCCGGGTTCAGCCGTGGCCCCTGGAGAAGGGGTAACACCGGAGAAGTCGCCACCGTCCAAGACAGACTTAACCCCTGAGCAAAGCGACTCGGCAACAAGGGGCGCGCAAAAGCGGACCAGCCCCTACTTTCAAGGTACCGATGGCGGCGTGTGCCACAGTCAGGACGCCGAGCTGAGATCTCGCCCCGTCCAAGTCGTTCCTTTGGGAAGCCTGTCGTCCAAGTTATCCAGGAGGTACCTGCAGGCGAGAAGAGCCACGCAGAAGAACGAGGCCGCAGCGGTCAGGGTGGTGGCCAGCTGTGCCGAGGCGGAGGACGAGGACCGGGGCGTGGAGAGCAGCTCCCAAAAGGAAAACCTGTTTTCCTGCGATTCTCTTCCGGAGCAAGATCCTGTCGAAGGCCCCCCGTTAATGGCAGAGCCTCCCCAGGACTGTGGGAGGTCCACCCTCGCTCCTGCCTCCCCAGATAATGCTGTGTTATTGCCCCAACGAACTCCTGGGAATAATCCACTGTCCGCTTCCCAGGACAGCCGTGCAGAGCAGGAGAGCGTCGGACAAGCGGATGGTGCAGGTGTCGGGACACGGGAGGCCGGTGTTGGGGAAGAAACCGAAGTCCCTGAGACTTCGGAATCTGAAACACAGCTTTCTTGGGAGGCGCCATCTCAGAGCTCTACCCATGACGCTTCCGAGTGGGGGAACTTCCACAAACTCCCTCTGGAAGGTGACAGCGGCTTAAAGGATGAAACCGCTCTCGGGGTTCCTTCGGGGCCGGGGCCGAGCTGCGGCGTTCCTGGTGAAACGGTCCCAGCGCCGCCCGGCCACCCCTACTACCTCCGTAGCTTCCTGGTGGTGCTGGGAGCCGTCTTCGAGAATGAGGACGACAGGATGCTCTTCAACGAGCAAGAGAGGGGAATCGTCACTAAATTCCATCAGTTATCAGGTATCGTAAGCGTGTGCTGTCGGGGTTTTGTCCCCCATTTGCTGGCCTGATTGGGGCCGTGAGGTGACGGGCAGCAGTCTGTTGGCCACAAGGAGTCAGTGTGGTTTTAAGAATCAACTGGGAGCACACAGAGGAGCCAGCCTTCTACTGGTCTCCTCTAGGTCAGGATATGTTTGGAAAGGAGACAAGATTTTGTGCCCTGTGATGTCCGTTCCTGTAGTTTCCTGCCTGTATATGTATACAGCAGGCCCTCCGATAATGTTGTGTTTTAATAGATTTTTACTGACTTCAGAGAGGAAGGGAGAGGGAGAGAGAGAGAGAAACATCAACGATGAGAGAGAATCACGGATTGGCTGCCTCCTGCACGCCCCACACTGGGGATGGAGCCCGCTACCCGGGCATGTGCCCCGACCGGGAATCGAACCGTGACCTCCTGGTTCCTAGGTCGATGCTCAACCACTGAGCCACGCCGGCCGGGCTCCAATAATGTTTTGTTCATCATCTTCTCATTATAATACTGATGAGATGCCATAGGAACTAAACTCTCATTTATATCAATTATTCTACGGTGGAATTGGTTTTTTTAAAAATATATTTTATTGATTTTTTACAGAGAAGAAGGGAGAGGGATAGAGAGCTAGAAACATCGATGAGAAAGAAACATCGATCAGCTGCCTCCTGCACGCCCCCCAGTGAGGATGTGCCTGCAACCAAAGTACATGCCCTTGACCGGAATCGAACCCGGGACCCTTGAGTCCACAGGCCAACGCTCTAACCCTTAAAGTCGCAGGACTTATCGATGTCATTGGTAGGTGACAAACAGCCTTTTCTGGATGAAAAAATAAGAGTGAGCAGTGCGACCTCGCAAGGCGCCCTCTGCGTTCTGAGCGGCCGCTCGGGCCGGGGCGGGCTGTTGGTTTCTGCACAGCCTCCTCAGACATGAAAGCAAAGGGACAGAGCAGGAGGAGGCAGACCACGGTCGGCTGAAGCACGTTCCCCCCAGCAATATTTTAGGCTCCTGGGCTTGCCTTTCCGAGTCTGGGCGTGGAGGAAGTGGAGGCAGCCAAGCTAAACTGGTCCGTGTAAAAATACGCCTCGGCTCCTTGGCAGCCGCCGTGGCTCTAGGCCAGGGTCCAGGTTTGCAACAGAAGCCACCCTGTCACAGCCTCGCTGTTTACCCAAAGGGCCGAGGGGGAGCCAGCGTCCCTCCCGCGGCAGGAGCGGCTGGCGAGGAGGCCACACCGACCTTGGGTGCCCCGTAGCCAGGTCTGACTTCTCAGTAGATTTTTTAAAAACCCGGAACATGACTGACTACTCACGTTAAAGTGAAAGGTTTTTGTTTTAAATTCACACAGTGGAATTATTACGGAGTTCCTTGTGTTGCTGTTAATCCTCACGCAAGGATATTTTTTCCATTATTTTTAAAAAGAGAGTGGAGGCGGGGGGAGAGAGAGAGAGAGAGAGAGAGAGAGAGAGAGAGAGAGAAAGATCGATGTGAGAGAGACACATCAGTTGGTTGCCTCCTGCACGTGCTCCCACCGGAAATCAAACCACCAGCCCTTGGGTGAGCGGGCCGATGCTCTAACCACTGAGCAACACACTGGCCAGGGCCAGCCCCTCCTTTTTGTGGGAGAGAAAAC